CGTTCACCTACCTCTGGTTCATGGGCGACAACGGGGACATCGGCAAGCTGCCCGAGGGGGTACGGAAACCTGGCGACGGTGGCGGCAGCGAGGCCATGGCGACGGTGAGTTTGTCCTCGTTGAGGTCGTGGAGGAACCTATACCTGTTGTCGTTCTTGCAGAACCCCCTGACAAGGTAGAGTTAGGGGTGACGGAGGTAGCGGCGGTGTTGGAGGTTTCAAGTGAGGTTATAGAGAGGGTGGAAGAGGAGATGAGTTTGTAGGAAGAGGAGTAGATCTAGAGAAGATCTAGAGAAGAAGAAGAGGGTAGTTTGGAAATTTTTTGTCTTGGAAATTATAAATGGGGCTGATTCACATGGATTTTTTATTTTTAGGGAAAAAGCACATTAGAAAAAGTTCAAGGGGTTGGGACACATCAACAATTTAGTTTTGGGGCCTTGAAGCAATTTTTCCTATCTTTTAAATTGAAAGTTAAATTTACATAACTTAAGGAAAAATTGCTTCAAGGCCCCAAAACTAAGTTGTTGATGTGTCACATCCCCTTGAACTTTTTCTAATGTGCTTTTTCCCCAAAAATGAAAAATTCATGTGAATCAGCCCCATTTACAATTTCCAAGACAAAAAATTCCCAGACTACCCTCTTCTTCTTCTCCAGATCTTCTCTAGATCTACTCCTCTTCCTACAAACCCATCTCCTCTTCCACCCTCTCTCTAACCTCACTCGAAACCTCCAATACCACCGCTACCTCCATCACCCCTGTCTCTACCTCGCTAGGGGGTTCTGTAAGAACGGCAACAGGTGCAGGTTCCTCCACGACCTCAACGAGGACAAGCTCGACGCCGCCATGGCCTCGCTGCTGCCGCCACCGCCGCCAGGTTTCCGTACCCCCTCGGGCAGCTTGCCGATGTCCCCGTTGTCGCCCATGAACCAGAGGTAGGTGAACGACGGCTGGCCGAGTTCTTTTCTTAGGCTTTCGATGGTGGGTTCCGTGGATTTTGATGACTCGTTTTGATTTCAGGGCGGTTGCGACGGCGGAGCTGATGCTCGCCGGAGATGAGAGCAGGTTCATGGGCCAATCGAGGATCGATCAGAGTGAGTTTGATGTTGTTTGTTGTCATGTAAGCTTCAGTTGAGCTGGGAAGGAGTTTGATGTTGTTCTCTGTGTAGTTTGATTGTTATTGATATTGCAAATTGTATGGTGGGATTTTGGGAATGCATTGTGGTCACTGTTGGTTTGATAACACTTTTCCTGATGATAACACTTTCAGAGAAGAGGATGTCTCCAATTATTTTACGTTACGGGAAATTTTCTTTTTGAACTTTTTGATGGTTTGATAATTGTTGTTTAGGGTTAAAACTGATTTGGGTTCTTGTTATTTTCTATAGTATTTATGGGCCAGTTCAAGATGTGAGGATCCCCTAATCTCAACATGTTGGGGCTTGGATGTATATCAAAATCAAGAAAGAAGTAATAAACTCAAGGTGTAGTATATATAATGTTGTACAAATTTGTGATGGTGATTTCTTGTGTCTGCTGTTGTTTGTTTTCATGTAAGCTCCAGTTGAACTAAGAAGAAGTTTGATGTTGTTCTCTGTGCAGTTAACTGTTGTGGTTAGCATGTTAACTCTTGTGTTTAACATGTTAACTCTTGTGGATAACATGTTAACTCTTATAGATAACATGTTAACTCTTGTGCCTATATGTTAACTCTTGTGGCAAATATGTTAACTATTGTGGATAACATGTTAACTCTTGTGACAAACATGAATTATAGTTAACAGACAGTTTATAAATAATAGTTAACAGATAATTCATTATAGTTAACAATTTAAAAATAACAGTTAAAAATAATAATTAATAGTTAACAAATTATAAATAACAGTTAACATATAATTGATTATAGTTAACAGTTATATTTATCAATTTACTAATTAAGGTTAACATGCTAGGTATTATAGTTAACATGTTAAATGAGAACTATATTGACGTGTATATGACCCAAAATAACAGTTAACGGATAATAGATTAAAATAACAATTAACGGATAATGGATTATAGTTAAAAGTTTACTGAATATAATTATCAATTTACAAATTAAAATTAACTGAAATAACAGTTAACTTTAATTGGTAAATTTATCCATTATCCGTTAACATGTTATCCATAATATTTAACATGTTATCCACAAGAGTTAACATGTTAAACACAAGAGTTAACATGCTAAATATTTTGGTTAAAATATTAACTATATGAACTATTAATTATTATTTGTTAACGATTATTTATAATTTGTTAACTATTAATTATTATTTGTTAACTGTTATTTATAAACTGTTAACTATAATGAATTATTTGTTAACTATTATTCAAAAACTGTCTATTAACTATATTCATGTTTGTCAGAAGAGTTAACATGTTATCCAACATAGTTAATATGTTTGCCACAAGAGTTAACATGTTATCAATAAGAGTTAACATGTTAGCCATAAGAGTTAACAAATTAGTCACAAGAGTTAACATATTATCCACAAGAGTTAACATGTTAACTATAACAAGAGTTAACATATAACCACAAGAGTTAACATGTTATCCATAAGAGTTAACATATTATCCATAAAAGTTAACATGTTATCCACAAGAGTTAACATGTTATCAACAAGAGTTAACATGTTAGCCATAAGAGTTAACAAATTAGCCACAAGAGTTAACATGTTATCCACAAGAGTTAACATGTTAACTATAACAAGAGTTAATATATAGCCACAAGAGTTAACATGTTATCCACAAGAGTTGACATGTTATCCATAAAAGTTAACATGTTATCAACAAGAGTTAACATGTTATTCACAAGAGTTAACATGTTAACTATAACAAGAGTTAATATATAGCCACAAGAGTTAACATGTTATCCACAAGAGTTGACATGTTATCCATAAAAGTTAACATGTTATCCACAAGAGTTAACATATAGCCATAAGAGTTAACATGTTATCCATAAGAGTTAACATGTTATCCACAAGAATTAACATGTTAAACACAAGAGTTAACATGCTAACCACAACAGTTAACTGCTCAGAGAACAACATCAAACTCCTTCTTAGTTCAACTGGAGCTTACATGACAACAAACAACAGCAGACACAAGAAATCACCATCACAAATTTGTACAACATTTATATATACCACACCCTGAGTTTATTACTTCTTTCTTGATTTTGATATACATCCAAGCCCCAACATGTTGAGATTAGGGGATCCTCACATCTTGAACTGGCCCATAAATACTATAGAAGAAAATAACACGAACCCAAATCAGTTTTAACCCCAAACAACAATTGTCAAACAATCAAAAAGTTCAAAAAGAAAATTTCCCGTAACCTAAAATAATTGGAGACATCCTCTTCTCTGAAAGTGTTATCATCAGTAAAAGTGTTATCAAACCAACAATGACCACAATGCATTCCCAAAATCCTACCATACAATTTGCAATATCAATAACAATCAAACCGCACAGAGAACAACATCAAACTCCTTCCCAGTTCAACTGAAGCTTACATGACAACAAACAACATCAAACTCACTCTGATCGATCCTCGATTGGCCCATGAACCTGCTCTCATCTCCGACGAGCATCAGCTCCGCCGTCGCAACCGCCCTAAAATCAAAACGAGTCATCAAAATCCACGGAACCCACCATCGAAAGCCTAAGAAAAGAACTCGGCCAGCCGCCGTTCACCTACCTCTGGTTCATGGGCGACAACGGGGACATCGGCAAGCTGCCCAAGGGGGTACGGAAACCTGGCGGCGGCGGCGGCGGCGAGGCCATGGCGGCGTCGAGTTTGTCCTCGTTGAGGTCGTGGAGGAACCTGTACCTGTTGTCGTTCTTGCAGAACCCCCTGGCGAGGTAGAGACAGGGTGACGGAGGTAGCGGCGGTGTTGGAGGTTTCGAGTGAGGTTAGAGAGAGGGTGGAAGAGGAGATGGGTTTGTAGGAAGAGGAGTAGATCTAGAGAAGATCTGGAGAAGAAGAAGAGGGTAGTCTGGGAATTTTTTGTCTTGGAAATTGTAAATGGGGCTGATTCACATGGATTTTTTATTTTTGGGGAAAAAGCACATTAGAAAAAGTTCAAGGGGCTGTGACACATCAACAATTTAGTTTTGGGGCCTTGAAGCAATTTTTCCTTTTTTCTGAAGTCTATCAATGATTAGCAATAACATTTATATTCTTTTTAGTTTCATTGTAGCCCATTTTTAATTAATCATCTTGGATTATTGGCTTTATTAATTGTTCATCATTCTTTTATGACGCTATTTCTTCAAGTGTTTTTTAGTTTTACAACATTATACCTTCTCAAGTCAAGCTTGGTTTCATGTCGATCTAAATAACGTGCAAATTCAAATTAGCTTTAGGTTACATTTATTTCTTATCAATTCAATTATTAATGTGAAAATTTTAAATTTGGTGTAGCCCATTCAAACAAATATTAAAGAAAATAAATAATCTCAATACTAAAGTTTAAAGACATAAGTGAGCAAAAACAAGCAAAGTGAAACTAAGAAACAAATTTTAGTAAGGAAATAAATCAAAAATACTTAATCATAGTATTTAATCACGTGCATCAAATTTTAGTAAGGAAATAAATCAAAAATACTTAATCATAGTATTTAATCACGTGCATTGCACGTGCATAAAACCTAGTAGGAAATAAATCAAAAATACTTAATCATAGTATTTAATCACGTGCATTGCACGTGCATAAAACCTAGTATACGTAAAAGTATAACTGCTTTACATAGTCTACAGGATGCAACCTGCCAAATCCGGGTTGGGCCCAGCAGCCCAAACCCGATTTCGATGGGTTTGTGGCGGACGGATCCGTACTCGGATCCGTTTCAAAGAAAAGCCGTGGAAGGGCTTCTGAGGCCACATAAAAAGATGAGAGGGAGATGGATAACTGCTCTAGCTATCCTAACTCTAACGGCTTTCCTAGAGAGAGAGAGAGAGAGAGAGAGAGAGAGATGGCCCTCGCAGGAGCCACTTTTAATCTATCGGTAATTGTTCTATAATCTTGTGTTCAACATTTTATATAGTGTTGATGTTGATTAATTTTTAATTGTTATTGATTTTTTTTTATAATCATTGTCGTATTTTAGGCACCCCCGCGAAGGTTAATATGCAATAAGAGACTGAAGTCTCGGTCAGGTATGCTTTTTTTTTTCTTTTCCTTTTCTGGTGTTGTTCTTTTGGGAAATTTGTCGAACATGTGGCGGGCTTCAAGGTTTAGTTGATTTTTTTTAATCCAATCCAATGAACTGGGCGACAAAAATATTGGTTGTGTTTAATTTGTGGCATTTCAAATCTATAAATTTATTTAGCTAGGATATTTAGGAACTAGCTATTTGGATTTTTGCTTATGAAAATGCTTGCCTACTATTGATTCAGCAGCATCTCGGTTCCCGGCTCTATGAAGTTTGGAAGAAAAATGTTATGAGGACCATGATGATATTGATGAGGCAGAATGAACAAAGCTTTCTTGTTTTCCCTTTAGACGATTAAGTCTTTAAGAGCTCACAATCAGTGTCATTGGTGATTTATCTGTTGCTCCTTTTGTCTAGTCAAACTTGTGTACGCGTTAAGGACATAGTGGAGGGGTATTCCTTTTCTTTTCTTTTCTTTTTTTCCTTCCTTTCATTTAATGACCGAGGAAAAGTAGCTTTGCATGAGAAATGGACAAGGGATTACTAAAGGAGTTGACTTGTTAGAAAATAGTTTTCTTTTTCAGTCATCTAGAAGAAAAATGATCAAATGTAAAACAAAGTGAGCACATCTCAAGAGTATTTTTGTAGGGCTTGATTAGATCATTAGACTATTAATGTTGCAGTCTGGTGAGTGAAGACTAAACCTTCGGTGTTGGATATTTATGTTTACAAAAGTGCTAGCACTTGAATACTCGAACAAGCTAAGGCTCATCTCTTATAGAAATGATAGACAGAAAGCAGTCACTTGAAATGTTTATAACCTGAGATAAGAAGAAGATTACTTTGTTGAAGTTTGTGTAGATTGTACTTGCATGACATCTGTACCTAGCTTATACATCCAATATTAGGATGCAGATGATTGCAAGATTTATTATACTTCTATATTGATGTCCTAGTTAGCAAATTAGATAAATGGGGACAGGGGCGGATCCAGGATTTCACTTCTTGTGAGGCCGCGTATAAAAGATAGACGAAATTTTTTTTAATGCAATTTTATTCACAAGAGATACATCACAACCTAAACAAAACGAGTAGAATAGCCAACATTAATATTTCCAAAATATTTCAAAAGAGAAAGATAAAAATTATGTAGAATGAATATATTTTAATTTTTAAGGGAAGATGTTTTACAGAAACCATCCTATCTTTTTTTCCCAAAATTTTGGAGGGGCCGTGGCCCCCCTGGACTATATATAGATCCACGCCTGAATAGGACCCTCATGAATTAGTTGAAAAATTGGCAGATGGAAAGCTCCAGTTAAATTCATAATAATGTAGAAGCTCTCCTCTACTTGGAGAACTGATTGAACCTGCATTTTGCTGGTTGAATCTGATTCCATGGTCAAAAATCAAAACCGATAACATTAACAAGAAACCTAACTTTTTTAACATATAGTCTTGTCATCATAAAGTTGTGTCAATAAACCAGATATTGTCGTTATATGTAATTATAATTATATACGCTTTATTAGTCAGTTGTAGCCTGCACTTTGGGAATGAACATATAATTTACATTCTGCTGTGTAAACCTACATGGTTTCATGCAAATGGGTCATAATGTTATCCTATGTCATGTAACCACAATAATTTGTGGTCTTGAAGTCCCTGCACACTAGAACTTCAAAGTTGTGGTGAGGGTTTAGAGTTGTAATTTTATACTCCAGCATGCCTTCACAAGTTGAGCTTCATTTTTCAACCTGGACTCATACAGTAGGATCAAAATTTTCTATAATTTGCTTTAAATTTGTGCCTAACAGGATTTGAATGTGGGTTGCTCTGATATCATCTCAAAGTCCCTACCACTTCACCTAAACGCTGAAGTTTTATTGAGGGTTATAAGTATACTCTTAACATGTGGAGTTAACTTAAAATTGAAGCGCATAACAACCTTTGAACAATTTTACCCTTATCTAACTTTTATATATTTTTCTCGAGCAAGGGTATGTGTAAAAAATGGTAGTTCCAGAGCAGGGTGGTTTTGTTAAAAACCTCCATGTTCAAGGTGTTTTGCGAAAATTTTCCTTTATTTTGTTGTTCTCTGTCATATGCTATCTAATAGCGGCTTCAGGTATATATTGTATGAAATGGGGAACTCTTGAGAAGATAGGATTGAACTCCCACTGCTATTTGTTCTACAAGAGACGACCACAAGTCGTACAAGCTGCAGTACTCCCTATTTCACCATCCTTGATAGATGATGAAGTGCAAAGGCATCAGATGTGTGAAAATTATGGCTTCACACAAATAGGGGAACCACTTCCTGATAATATTACTCTGAAAGATGTGATGGATACCCTGCCAAAAAAGGTATAATGTGTTATGTTTCTAAATGTATTTACTGTTGCCTTGCTTCCTCATATCTTCAAAATTCTTCTTTGAAGGTTTTTGAAATCAATGACATGAAAGCTTGGCAATCGGTTTTCATATCTGTAACATCTTATGCATTGGGATTATTAATGATTGCAAAAGCTCCATGGTACTTGCTCCCTCTAGCATGGGCATGGACAGGCACAGCAGTGACAGGGGTGAGTTTGCTCCCTTACCACCCGCTCTTGCTTTAAGAATAAGATATCACATATCTCCTTATATTTTTTTCAGAATTAATTATTCTTTCCACCTCTTATTAAAATTTCTTTCTAAAGTTTTTTGTGATAGGCCATGATTGTGCTCACAAATCATTCTCAAGGAATAAATTGGTGGAAGATATTGTTGGAACTCTTGCCTTCTTGCCTCTGATATATCCTTATGAGCCGTGGCGTTTTAAGCATGATAGACATCATGCCAAGACAAACATGTTCGTATATAGTTCTTTTGCTATATTGTTTTCATTTAATTAATGTTCATGTTTATTTCCTAGTCATTGTTATTACTTCTTTGGGCTTTTTGTTATAGTTGATTGGTTCATTTGTCGATGGTAATTCTCAAATTGTATTCTTTGTTCTGGATGGAGATTTATAATCGCTAATGTCAAGAAGATTCACATCATTGCTTTGTTCAGTCGTTTTGCTCTAGTTAGAAACTAGAGTTACTGGTGGATGGTCTACATTACCACTGCTTCCATCTTCCCTGTCTTCTCATATTTTGGTCAATTTTTAGACTAATTGGGAAGATTACTTTATCCATCTTTGATCAGTCAATTTTCCCCACCACCATGCAGAGCGTTCTCATTCATATCAATCCCCACAGTAATAATTATTTAGCTCTTTATCTTAGCCTTTTCGGCTCAACCAACTACTTATGAATACCATCCTGGGCATCTGGTTATCCTTCAGTGAAGACTTAGGCAGAGTTGAATGTTTTTCTGTAGGTTTCTTTTCTAAATTACCACTAGAATTTTGTTTTTAAATATATTCTAGCAAAAACAGAATGAAAGGTCCTTTGATGAGACTATTGTTAGATATTATTGGTATCTAGATTTAGGAGATATTATTGAGATATTGTTAGATGTGGTTGGATATGAAATTATCTCATACCTATTTTTTAATATCCTCCTAATATCTATTTAAGAGAGCTTAGTGTTAGATGAATAATAACTTTGTCTTCTCTCATTCTTTACATGGTATCAAGGCCTACTCGATCCTAGCAACTTCTCCCATCTTTCTAGATCTCGAGGCTGTTGAGGGGCTTTTGCATGACCTTCTTGTTCCCCTTGACAGCTACATCAACATCTTTCGTGGCTTCGACAACATATTTGATTTCTACATCATTTGTTTACTAAATCCTTGTTGAGCCTCAATAAAAAGGCCCTGCCCTTGAAAAACCCTAACCTAAAAGCCTTTCACCCCGGAAACTCAATAGTAACTCTGCCTTCTCTCATTCTCTACACTACTGACAATTTCTTTGAGCCGGTGTATGCTCAGGAAGAAATAGTAAGATGAAGTTTTAACACTAAGGTCCATTGCATGATTGAAACCATTGATCAGTAATGATTTGACTTTTGAACCACCAGACATAACAATGCTTTAGATGCAATCATTTGTCTTGACAGCATCATTCGGATCTACTTGTCCCTACTAATTAGTTTGTGATGGTTGAACTCAAGTAGAATGTTGTGAGTACTATAGAAGGGGCTTCTAGTTAATTCACATAAGTTGTATTGATGTTACAACAGTTTAGACTGAGATCTTAGAACAGAAGGTGCAGATTGCCTATCTCCTGGTATGTCTTAGAAATGTCGAATATGCATTGATTTCTGAAGCAGATTTTTTGCTCTCCCACGTCCCACCAGAAAAACCTTTGTCGATGATGTCATTCGCTTCTGAGCAGCAATAGATGTAGAAATAATTCAGATAGTACAAACCATCTAATCTAAAGCCCAATTGCAAGTGGACCATGTAAACCCCAAGCCCGCCTAAGAACATAAAGACTGAGTCGTTTAATAATACCAGCTTAGATAGATTTGAGTACTTCCTTTTTTTCTCCCTCCTGTGTTGGTATTAAATTGTTTGTAGCCTAGGTTTGAGTTGATGAGATTAATAAGGAGATTCGGATTTTTTTGAAAAGTAAGCCTTATCTCTGGAGGTCTATCTGATGTAATATTACGTAAGTCTGGAAGTTTCAATTGCCTCGGAGCAAGGTTAGGTCAATGATAAACTATGTTACCAGGCAGAGAAGAAGTGGGAAGGAATATCATGCAAACCATTTGTCATGACTCATATCTTACAGCCCGCAGATCATCTACTCCTATTGGTTTCCCTCTTTCATCAAGAGATTTTTAATGTGCTAAGATGCTAGCTACTTAGAGAATTGCTTTTTTTTTCATTGTCCATGGCTTTAAGGCACACAAATTTTCTATTTCGTAGTTCCCATTCTTGCTTCTCATGTTAAGGCAAAGTGCTTAGGATTTGCGTAAATGGAGTATCAGGGATCTTGATTGTGATGCACATTCAAACAAAAAAAAAATCCAAAAGAAGTGATTTATAGAAAGTTGTATTTGATGAAAGTCATATGCACGGCTTGGAGGGAGATCTTTCATATCTTTCGAGAACCACCCTACAATATGGGTTAAAAAAGGCAAAATAAGTGATATGTTTTTAGCCCTTATAAAACGAAATTTGATTTTTAAACCTCTTTCACGCTCATACTAGGCTGAGGTTCTGCTGAAGAAAGAACTCAAAATCTGATCCAATTTATAGTAATGTTGGTTAACTGTATTCTGTAAAGGGGATTGCATCGTTTGTAGACTGCCAGCATTTCTGAGATAACTGCTCTAATTATCAACTTCTAGCCATCAATTATCTTAAACTTGCTTTGGTGAAGCCTTTTAATGCCAAAGCATTGTATAGTTTCACAGGACTTATCATTGAGTCAGCTGCGTGCTACTTTGCTCCTGTTTTCTTTCCCCTTTATCTTCTCTCATTCTTTCCCATTTCTGGTGTAATGGTCAGTTTAGGGGCTCCACATCAATTCATTTTCTTTTCTCTTTTGTTCTTTTTTTGGGGATGGGGGATGTGGGAACGTGAGGGCTCACTTTGCGGAAATGAGACACATGTTCCTCATGTGCCTTGTCCACAACAATTTAATACGACAGAAAATGTTCTTAGAGTACATACAGGGAAACAAATTTATTTATAGCCATAATGCATGCCAAAGCCTTAGCCAACAAACTAGACTAACAGTCTACCGTCTCTCTAAATAAAGACTACATCGCACCCCGTTCCTTCCAAATCTTGAAAGTGATCTTTTCCCCCCATCAAATTCAATGGTTTTATACATATGCTGAACTTTTCTCTCCTTTATAATTCAGGTTGGCAGAAGATACTGCTTGGCACCCTGTTATGAAAGACGAATGTGACTCCTCACCCATACTGAGGAAAGCCATTGTCTTAGGATATGGTCTAGTCAGGCCATGGATGTCTATAGCTCACTGGTATTTTCAAAATGCCATCATATTCTTTCTTATTTTAAAATTTCATATTTTTAATTTGATGCTCATTCCTATCATTATTATCAAGTTTATTATTAGGCTATTGTGGCACTTTGATCTGAAGAAGTTCAGACCGGCTGAAATTGGAAGGGTAAAGATAAGCTTGGCATGTGTATTTGCATTCATTGTGATCGGATGGCCTTTAATCATTTATAAGGCTGGAATTATGGGATGGTTCAAATTTTGGTTTATGCCATGGATGGGCTATCACTTCTGGGTATTTTCTCGTGCAAAATTCTCCCCTTTTGTACTAATATTTGTTATAATGCATGTTTTTATATGGTTGTGAATCCTTGACTCCACATAATCTGCTCTTTCTAGATGAGTACTTTCACGATGGTCCATCACACTGCTCCTCATATTCCTTTCAAAACTTCAGATGAATGGAATGCTGCACAGGCTCAACTTAGTGGGACGGTCCATTGCAGCTATCCTAATTGGTATGCTTTTATTTGTCATATGTTTTTCATTATAACTTCCCCTGGTGTCTTCTGGTAGAAGTGGTCTAGTTGAGTTTCGTGTCTGGAAATTAATTTTAAAAAGATTTGAGGAATACATGACTTGTGCATACACCATCTAATAAAAAGTATAAATTTTGCGCATACGGTTCTTAGAGAACTTGGAAACAAAAAAAAATGCAGTTCATGTTAGTTTCAAATCTCAAGTTGTAAAAATTTGTCTTTTGAATTATTTTACTATACAAGGAGTATATTGAGTTCCAGGCATCTTTCTGCTCTTTGTACAGTAAAAAAGATAGTTACTATTGTCAAAATCTAAAAGAACATTGTGCAGATTGAGCAGCCTAAAGAAAAAAGTGGATGGAATCTACTCCTCCTCTATACAAGTGGGAGAGAACCAATGATTCACTATTCGTACTACAGTAAATGCTACATTATTATTTACCGTATCATGATTACTGTAGCATCATGAAACTGACTACGGCTTTTTTGGAAAAAACATTATTGTAGCACATGTGGAATACTGTAGCATGGGCGGGATACTGTTGCAATTAAAAAATAGCAGTTAACCGGGATTACTGTAGCGAAATATATTGTGCTTTGCACGGTGTTCACACTAGTATAGAAAGAAGGCAGAAGAGCAGTAATGTGCGCATTTTTTCTAAAGAAAATATACATTGATGTAAACTATTGAAGCCTACTGAGAAAAATACAATCAATGGCTTATAGAACAAAAGAATCTCTTCTCTCTTCTAGCGGCTAATAGTGCCCGTTTTGATGCTATACCCTTTTTGTCTAATTTGATTCCTAATTTTCCATGCAGGAGTAAACAATAGTAAAATTTTTGACTAAAAGATTCTTTCAGTAGACCTTATGAGTACTAATATAATATTGTGTCTTCTTTGTGATAGAGTGTTTATATAATGTAATCTCTACCATCCCTTTTTCAGACTCAAATTATATGTAATTATAATGATACACATATATTATGGGTTTTAAAAAAGAACTACTTATATTAACAACCATGGACTCCTTAAAAAAGGTTTTTTTTCCTTTCTGTGAATTGTCATCTTAAATCTAAGGCTTATTTGTATCACGAGAAAAAAATGAGAAATCCAGTTTTGTTATAATCTTATTCAATATCACCTGTCTCTAATGGCAAACAATTTCGAATTAATTTGCACAGGGTAGAGATCCTGTGCCATGATATCAATGTGCACATTCCACACCATATTTCTTCCAGGATACCAAGCTACAACCTTCGGGCTGCTCATCAATCGCTTCAAGAGAACTGGGGCAAGGTGCATTTCTAGTTTTGCTTTATTTTCAGGGACAAAATATTCTTTAATCAAAATAAAAACTAAAGTCTTAGTTACTAAACTTATCTCAGCAGCCAAAATTCATCTCCTATTCTCTATGATTGACAAAATTTGAAATCATGTCTGATTTGTTTACTAGCATAAGTTGTGCTTCTTTTATTTCCACATTTCCCCTTCAACTCTCTTGTACTCTCCCTTAACCACACAAGTACCTCTTAGTTCATAAAAACAAGAAGGGTTTTGCAATTTTTCAGGATAGCTATAGGACTCACAGTGCTTTATGGATTGGAATGTTGGGCAGTTAACGAACAGCATGTGCAAAAAATAATTGTAGTATAAACGAGAATATTACAATACACGATTGCATATACATAGAGATAGGACAAGAAACAAGTTCAATACTGCATTTCACATGAGACTTGAGGTTGCTTCTACTGAGGATTGAACGAGAGAGCAGAGGTTGAGATAGGTTGATCATGTGTAATAGAGGTCACTAAAAGCACCAATTAGCAAATGTGATAAGATTATAGCAAATGGAGAAAGAATGACTAGAGGTTGGCATGGGTTAGAAGTTGTTAAGAAGGATATGATAACGACTAACCTAGTAGAGGAGATTGCCCTCAATAGAACTAATCATAGAATCATGTAACCCACCACAAAATGTAGGCTTTGTTGTTGTTGTTGTATTTAGCAGTTCTTTAGACATAACAATGCTCAAGAATTCAAGATTTGACTTACTTCTTTTTTCCTTGTATTCCTGACTGCAGTATCTTAACGAAGCAACCTGGAATTGGCGTCTGATGAAGTCAATAATGACGATATGCCATGTATATGACAAGGAGAGGTACTATGTTCCGTTTGATGAACTCTATCCACAAGACTCCCAGCCAATCTCACTTCTCAAGAAGGTCATGCCGGAATACACATAATTTTGTCAAGATTCTCCATTACTTTTATTCTTTTCAGAATCTTGCTCTGAAACAGCATTAATCTTTTATGTTTTGGCATATTTTACCCGGAGATTCAGAATATTTGACAATTTTAAACAACCAATTTTTGTTGTACTGGCTAAAAGATTTAAAAGGGATGAAAATAAAAGAAACTAGAGAACTTTTGAATGTTGTAAAACTGTGTTTGATTATTACAAGAAGATAATGTAGTAAATTCCTTCTGACTTACAATTTTTTGTTACTTTAGAAATGTATTAACTCGTCTCTTTTTTTTACTTGTTGGGAGTTTTATTTTAATTGAAATAGATTTTTCCAAAATGATATTTAAGTTATGTCACACTTTGAAATAACAATGTCAAGGATTTTTTCAGGAAAAGTGTAAAAGATCAAGGGTTTTGTGAGACACCCTATCGTTGAGGGTTTCTCAACTTTTTAAAGTTGATGGATTTATCTACAATATTCCTAAACTTGAGAGGTAAGTTTTTGGGGCGCAGTCTATTAGTTGAGGAGGGTTCTCTAAAGTAAAACCTCAAGAAAGGTTAATTTAGTGCATTATATCATTCATAGTTGAGGAGGATTTTATAAAATTAACTAGGGGATTATATCATCCATAGTTGGGGAGTGTCTTTATTATATTAAAAGAAGATACTGGAAAAATAAATTAATATGTTTTTTATCAATGAAAAATAAATTAATACCATTCCTACAGTGCATTGACTGGGAAAAAATTATTAATGGATTATATTGAGCCACCCCCAACCCCCAAAAAAAGAAAAAAAAACCACCACCACCACAAAAAAGAAAGAGATAAAACAGGGAACACAAACAAAAGTTGTTAGTGTAACTTTTCTGAAGTGAATGGGAGCAACATTTTGTATCATAATTGTTTATGAAGAATCCAGTAACAACTATTGCGTTTAATTTTTGTAAATTTGAAGGGTCAAATAAATATACACTATATATGAGAGCAGATGTATATACCTCCTAAATATTTTATTTGCACTTAGATTTCCTAAACATCACATAACATATTCACAAATTAGATCGTGATGTCAGATGATAATTCTATTATCATTTAAGAAAGACTAAATTCCCCTGTTAAAGCCAAGGCAAAAAAAAAAAAAAAAGGCCTCCAAAGCTCTCTCTCTCTCGGCCTGCAAATTTTTAAGAGAAAGGCAAGTGACAATAGAATAGTTTCAGGGTATAACTAACTATTCTGACTTGGTCCTTTTTTTATATCCCTTAGAATTTGAGTGTCAATTTTTCATTTATGATCATATTACCCTTAATTATGATAGTAGAGACCCTTGTACTTTTTGGTTATAGAACTCACTTTCAAACCTTATTTACAAACAATCAAAGTTTGCTAAAATTTTCAATAATTTTTTTATGACTGCTGACAAATTAATTGTGAGATTACCGTGTTTATGCATGACAATCATAAAAAATCAGATTTTTCACCAAAATACCATATAACGTGATAATAAATCTCTATAAACATATACGTAACCGTCTCAAGTCCGAATGACGATGTCATAAGAAAATTATCATTCGGTCTTAAAACATCTACCATTATGGTCAAGAAAGCATATTATTTCACAGTACGAGATAATATATCTTTACGATTATGACACCACAACATTTATTTATGCATAAGCAAAACAGTCCATACATCAAAAATGATAAAATTGGAAACGTAAAAAATAAAAGAAAATGATAAATTCTGACTCGAACGTACCACCAGCGTGTTCAGAAGGGTCTTCGGCCTTATTATGATGGTCACAATTTTGTTGACTTCCTCTGTGGTTCCACGCTGCACTTAAAAAAAAAAAAAAATCAAAATTCCAAACTTTAGATATTTGTATGAAATAAAAGAACACAAGGTCTTTAATCCGAAATCATAGATTTTTGTAAGTATTATTCTTAACTGGGATTTATTTTTCAGTAAAAATAATTTTCTTAATAAAAAAGTGAAAGAGGTCTATAATTTCGAAACCCTAGATTAATTTATTTCTTAACTTAGAGTATATGACAAACCCTAAGTTATAACACTTAGAAGATTCTCATTAAAATTGGTTTGCCAAAGTTTGTTGAATCGGATCGTGACAAACCCTAACGCACAATACACAAAAAAAAAAAAAACAAAAAACAAAATGATAATCAATTTTTGCTTGAAATATGATAAATCATAACAAAATAACAAATGCCAATCTTTCAAGAATAAATTTTCGACTAAGTTCTTGTGAGTAGTCATGTTTGTTGTCTGATTATTTGATCTTCTTTCTTTTTCAGTATGATCGGTTTAAGGGTCCTATACTACTCACATTTTGGAGGGTTTTCCAACATAACATTTAAGATATAATCAAAGTTTTTTTTAGTATCAATTTTTTTAGGAATCAATGTTTAAGGAACAAAAGTATATTTTTTTGTACTGGTTTATTGAGAAACGTAAGCAAAAATTAAAAGAAATCACAATCAATCTTTTGTGGAAACAATGGGTTTAAGGTAGAATTATCCTTTTAATTTCTATCTAATGGATTTTTTAGGGGAATGTTAATATTGGACTAAGTTTATATCTCACTAATAGAAAAACGAGCAACCTAGACGGAAATTTTCGTCTAGGTTGATCCAAATCCCATCTAGGTTAGTTCAACTAGACGGAATTTCGTCTAGTTAGGTCCGTTTATTTTGCTTTCGTCTAGATTGAATCAAACTTGACGGAATTTTGTCTAGATTGATCAATCTAGACAGAAGTCAACCTAGACGGAAGTAAGAATTCCGTGTAGTCTGGCAGACTAGACGGAATTCCGTCTAGGTTGATTATTACAACCTAGACAGAATTCCGTCTAGGTTGAGTCAACCTAGAAGGAATTCCTTCTAGGTTGCTTTTTTCCAGCAAAAAAAATTTAATTATAATTTGTATTTTCCTGTACAATTACATTAATATATGAATACATCCAGAAAATACTGTACACATGAATACATCTAGAAAATACTTTACACATGAATACATCCAACCATCCAATTATAATCAAAATTCATAACAATTCCATTCAAAACCAAATATACCATCCAATTATAATCAAAATTCATAACAATTCCATTCAAAACCAAATATAACCAAATCCAACACATTGTACAAATCCAACCATCCACTTCAAAATATACATCAACCAGTTTCGTCTAATATATACATCCAACAACATATATACTAATAATGCACATGACTAAGATAGGATACACGACATTAATAAATATAGTGTTATAACAAATAAAACTATTTATTGCATTAAAAATAAAAAATCTCATCCATCGTCGTCGGCGGGGGTATCTCTATCCCGATTACGAGAACGGGTGCTGCTCCCTCCAATATCTCCACTCTGAATGTTCAATTGAATAATCATTATGTGGTGTTTGATAACATATTAAATAAAAATAAATTTATAAATATAATAAAAAATAAGGTGTCTGAGCACTGCTTTGTCTAGCATCGGAATTATCGCCAATCGAGCTAATGATCCGTATGATACCACCATACGCGCTATAAGGAATCGCACCGCCTAAATATTGTATAACATACCCCATGAGATCATCCATCGAGTTCTCCGTCAGTGCAACTCTAGTCATCTCATTAGTCACCTGAATATGCAGCTCCAGATCAATTTTTTCAGTCAGATACGCAGAGATACGTGCGACAAATGACATAGCCTGGAAACTGCTTGTGGCTGCTCTCATTGATGTAGATGGCGTGGAGGATGCTGTGGATGATCTCATGCTTATGCCGGGTGAAGCTCCGACACCATGCAGAGGATATCTTCCTCTCCTATTATTAGGGAGAAATAAATATTAAAATTTTCTCTCAAATTCAATAATGGTAAACAAATATAAATAGTATGTAGTATTCAAATTGATTCGATTTTTTACCATCCTTACCTATTATGACCCATCAGGTTCTGTGTGAGATTGATGTTCTCCTCTGCAGAAAGTATGTGAGGGTCCGGCTCGGTTTGCTCCTCCTCCTGCGAAATGTACACAGATGCAGCCTCCTTGGATGCAGCCTCAAATCCCTCCTAAAGCACACATTTATAGTTAATTCAAGGTAATGACCATATTATTTGCGTTCTCGTTTCCTCGTAATGTTAACAACAAAATAGAATTCCGTCTAAGTTGACTTTTCTGTCTTGTTTGTCAAAATAGACGGAATTTTCCGTCTAGTTTGACCCAATCTAGACGGACCAACCTAGACGGAAAATTTCCGTCTAGTTTGATTCAACTTAGACGGAAATTTTTTCCGTCTAGGTTGTTCCGTTTAGATTGGTCGTTTTTCTACTAGTGTCTTGTAACGCCCCGCCCCGGAATCCCGAAGTCGGTACGCTATTAGATCTGATGGACTGGCCTCACAAACCACCACATGTCTTTTCAGCACGTTTTGTCCTCACTCACGCACTCCCCGGAAAACTTCCCAGGGGGTCACCCATCCTAGAATTTCTCCAGGCCAAGCACGCTTAACTTTGGAGTTTCTAAGAGTTGGGTTCTCGAAAAGAAGATGCATCTTGGTGGTATGAGTATTCCAATCAAATCTATCAATACTAATCACATCACCCTCTCAAGGGTTGGGGTATTACATACTCCCCCTCTTAAACTCGCAACGTCCTCGTTGCGCCAAATCATATCATCCAAGACCGTACCATCCGTGTGAGATTCTAGAGGTGGCTCCTACGGCCTCAAGAGGTGGCTCCCGCCCTCTTGACGTAGCACTTTGCGCCGCATAGCACTTAGTTCTCACAATTCCGGTTAACCTGGCTCTGATACCATTTGTAACGCCGCGCCCCGGAATCCAGGAGTCGGTACGTTATTAGATCTGATGGACTAGCCTCACAAACCACCACATGTCTTTTCAGCACGTTTTGTCCTCACTCACGCGCTCCCTGGAAAACTTCCCAGGGGGTCACCCATCCTAGAATTTCTCCAGGCCAAGTACGCTTAACTTTGGAGTTTCTAAGAGTTGGGTTTCCGAAAAGAAGGTGCATCTTGCTGGTATGAGTATTCCAATCAAATCTATCAATACTAATCACATCACCCTCTCAAGGGTTGGGGTATTACATACTCCCCCACTTAAACTCACAACGTCCTCGTTGTGCCAAATTATATCATCCAAGACCGTACCATCCGTGTGAG